AGCCGGTCCCCCTGCACCCGCACTCCGGCCGCGCCGCTAGGTTTTTTTTTTTTTGCTTGGGTCGGCCAAAAAGCCAGAGCCGGCCCTGCATTTAGGAGAGGAGAATGGGCAGAACTCAGTATTGAACGTTATGTAGAAGTCAGGATACAGTACAACAGCCTCGTAATATGGAATCTTAAAATGAGGATAAAGCCTAATTCAGCTTTGCTTTCCTGTATGATGGAAGTCCTCTAGGTTTATGTTGGGGATTTTTATTTTTGTACACTTCTCTAGGTATGATGCAAATCTGTGTACAGATGTATAACAGTTTTTCCAAGGATGAAGATTTGAAAAGAGAGTGATTGATATTGAGGTGTTTAAGTCTTATTTATGTAACAAATTTATTTCCTCCTTGTGTAAAATGGTCCCTTGTGGCTTTAGAGCCTATTATGTTGTGTAACTTTGAGATGTTTTGCCGGTGACTATAAAGACACTAGGAATTTTTTATTTTAATTTAAAATGAAATGGATTAGCATGGCAGGCCTAATATGTGTTCTTAATTTTGTAAAGCCCAGAGGTCAAATGTTTGTTGCGAGGCGGGGTGGGTAGAAAATAAATTCCAAATATTAATGAGCTCTACATACGATTTATATACTGTAAAATGTGTTCTTCAATAGCCCATACAATGGGGAGGAACTGTCCCAAGTCATTCAAAAAAGTCTGCATTTTAATAATGTAGAGAATTAGTTCAAAGTTTTTGGAATATTTATAATTACTGTTTTCAGATTTATATATGATCCATAATTTTAGTAGATTTCTTTAAAACAATAAAATAGGAATTAAGATTTCTGAACGAGAAGAGCTAACATCTGAAAGCATAGTAAGATGAAATGGGACTGCTTCCAAGTCAAATATATTCCACGAGCAATGGGCGTCCTTCAAAAAAGCAAACTACGTTTGTACCTTTTGGAAAGAAGTGGAAAAGTTCTCAGGCAGCCGACCAGGAAAGTAGAGAAATCAGCAAATGTGAATGGTCTCTTAATGCAATTGAGAATGTAGAAACACTGAACTATAAATGGCTAATCAGGTAGAGTTAGAAAATTTAAATGGTGGGAGCGAGGGAGTGGAGAGCTTAGCCCAAATTTTGACCTACTTTAAAATTTTAACTGGATTCCTTTTTGGAAGGGGAGAGTAAACCAGCTTGGACCATGGGGCTCTATTGTGGCTTTGTTTGTATTGTGTATATGTGGGGAGAGAGGTGTACTGCTCCAACAGGAATACCTAGAGCAGTGTTTCCCAAATTTGGGATGCCACTTGTGTAGGGAAAACCCCGGGCCAGTTTGTTTACCTGCTGCGTCCACAGGTTCGGCCAATCGCGGCTCCCACTGGCCGTGGTTCAGTGCTCCAGGCCAATGGGAGCTGCTGGAAGCATCGCAGGCTGAGGGATGTACTGGGAGAGCATAGAGGGGCTTTTTCAGTTAAGCACTGTTTTGATTAGCACTAGTCAGCAAATGGAATTTCAAATTGGGATGAAAAGTCAAAATTTATTGTGGAATGAAAATTCCAAAGATATTTTCTTTTAGAAAAACTGCAACAACCTTATCAAAACATTTTGGTTTGATAATGTCTAAACATTATATAATATAAAATGTTATAATTATAATGCAATGTTAAAATTGATTAACACTGAAATTAAAATGACAAAGATGAAATGAGAAAGGCAAGACAAAACACCACAGTTTGAATTGTTTTGAAGTTTTCCCATAGAAAATATCATCAAAATGACATGTTCCCTTTAAGTACTGGTATTTTAATTTTAACTGAACGTCATTTGCAGATGATAAACTGCTCCAATGAAAATTTGTCAACCAGCTCTTGTCCTAACTAATAAGCCTTTTTTATTTTTATTAACTTTTAAAATTTGATAATTATTTCATTCTTCAGTGGGATCAGGATCTTTTAGAAAATGACAGCTCCATCATGATGCTCTAAGAAAAGCTTGCTAATTTGTCTCCAGGTCCTATATTTATCTATATGATCCTTTGCCACAATAAAATGTTTTTTGGAGCTGTGTGGACACTATTGATGGTGTCCGTGCGAGACTAAAGATGTTTTAGGAAGATACAGTGCTAGAAGATCCTAAATAAAAACAGTCATGCTCATTCCAGCTCCATTCAGAACTGAGAGGTGAGGATGGAGGGGTATGGGAGACAATAATTTTGCCCAAGTTATAAAGAAGACTGTTGAAGACTTACATATCCTTGAACTTCTGAGACGTAATTACAACAAATAAAAAACATATAGTTTGAATACATTGCAGAATGCAGTATTTTATTATCATGCATCAGGAAGGTAAAGGAGTCTTGCACCTGTTTTGGATGAAATAACGGCAGTATCAGCCACAGTGTTCAGAACACTGGATGATCAAGAGCGTCTCTGATTTGACCTTTTCCCGCCATCAAATATAAATGTGGCTGAATTGGAAACAGGAAAGCCACCGTAAAAGATCTGAAGATCATAACATTGAGAGGATGTAAACTGTTCATTTCTTTGAGCTAAATGCAGGACGTACTTTTGCTATCTCCTGATAGGCCCTTAAGGGTTTAGTAGTCGGTAGAACTGTATTATGCATGTGCAGACATGTTTCTATCTCTAGTTCTTATTTTATGTATAACCTGCATATGTGTGAGGAAATCAAATAGCATAACTAGAGGCACAATTTGCATATACATGTGCAGGTTTCAAGGGGTGAAAATGGATGCTCACACAAATTTTGCACACCCACAAACCAGTGGCTCACTGACAAAGTAGTTCTAAATCCCATATTATTTTTAAATGTTTATGAAAGGAGATTTTGACTAAACGTTAGTGGTTCTAATCCATTACTAAAGGGGATATAGAGTTGTAAGCAATCAGGATCACCTCATCCCTCCCTGCTATTCCAGGTGTACTGTGTATTTTTGTAAGTAGTGAAATTGAAGAGGGAATACTACCATAACAGGTGCTATGTTATAGTAGGTGTGTGCAGGATTAAACCTTCTGAGGTGGGGAGCAAGGAAATTGCCTAGCACAGACTTAAGTGCTATAAAAATAACAGAACACCACTGGGCATCACGTACAGCCCCCAGCTAAAACCTCTCCAGCACATAATCAACGATCTACAACCTATCCTGGAAAACAAT